TTATCTGGATGGGCTAAAGTTTAATACCAGAGTGTTCAAATGACTCAACTGGGAAAAAAATAGTTATTCTTGCCAGGAATGCTTTAGCTTGAACAGATAACTGGGTTTGGTTTACAAACTGCCACTTGGTCACAGTAAGTGTATGTACAGTTTTATTTCAAAAACATAAACAGACAGGGTAGGCAGCAGTAGATGAGATTTTACCTAAAAGGTGTGGTCATATAATACAGTGGGGCTTTTGTAGCAGGACACTCCAAGAATCCTACCATGTGCTTGAGAACATTGTCCAAACACTTCTTGAACTCAGACAGGCTTGGTGCTGTGACCACTTCCCTGGGGAGACTGTTCCAATGCTCAACCACCCTCTGGAGGAAGAAACTTTTTCCTATATCCAACCTAAACCTCCCCGAGTCAGCTCCAGCTATTTCCTTGAATCCTATCACTGGTGATGAGAGTAAGAGATCACTACCTGCCCCTCCACTGCCCCTTGAGAGGATGCTGAAGACTGCAATGAGGTCTTCCCTCAGTCTTCTCTTCTCCAGGTTGAGTAAACCTAATGCCCTCAGCCCCTCCTAAGGCTTTCCCTCCAGACCCTTCCCCATCCTCGTGGTCTCCTCTGGACGCCCTCTAATGGCTTTTTTTTATATTGTCTTTTTTTATATTGTGGTTCCCAGGACTCGAGGTGAGGCTGCCCCAGTGCAGAGCAGAGTGGGACAATCACTTCCCTCGACCGGCTGGCGATGCCTTGCCTGATGCCCCCCAGGACACAGCTGGCCCTCCCGCCTGCCAGGGCACTGCTGACTCATATTCAACTTGCCGTCGACCAGGACCCCCAGGTCCCTTCCCGCAGTTGCTCTCCAGCCTCTCATACCCCAGTCTGTACACACGCCCAGGGTTGCCTGGAGAGGAGGAGGAGGAGGGATGAAGGAGGAGCAGTGTAGCAGGAGGAGGAGCGGGAGGAGGAGGGATAGAGGAGGACGACCAGGAAGAGGAGGAGAAGGAGGAAGTTCGCGAGTCCACCGCTCGCTGAATGCGCAAGCCCCCGTCCCCGGGAGCATCACCCCCCAGCATCCCACAGGTGACAGGAGCTTGCCACGAATATCTTGGGGGGGTCCCAGGGTTTTTCTGGGAAGAAGGTATCTTTGGATCTTGCAGTACTCCAAAGGTGAGCCTCGGCTGCCCCTTGGGAAGATACTGGAGGGTCCTCGGGAGGTGTTTTTTCTTCGGGGGGCTGCCGGCAGAGCCCCGGCGGCGGGCGGAGGGATGCAGGTTCGCTCACCGCGGGGGGGATTGCTCTTCCTGGGTCAGGCACCGCCGCCTCCACTGTCAGCCCGCGACAGGCGGCAGGTGGGGGACACACACACATCGAGTTTGGGACCCACGAGGAGAGCCGGGTTGGGTAGGAACTCCGGGACCCTCAGAGTGAGGAGAGCAGAGAAAGGCGCTACCAGAGCTGGGAGACCCCCGACAGCCCGGAGGTAGGGGGAGTACGGAGAAGGGGGAGCCTAGAGAGAGGTCCTGGGATTTCCGGGACTCCCAGCAGCCTGCAGAGGGGGGAACTCCAGAGACGGGGCTCCCCAGGGAACCTAGAATAGTGAAACAGAGAGTCAAGGGAGAGGGGAGCTCTGAAACCCCCGGAATCGCTAAGTGGGACCCCATAGAGGAGACACCCCCGATATTCAAGAGACCACCAGCAGCCTGGAGAAGGCAGGGACCCCGGAGAGCCGGCACACCCGATACACACAGGACCCCCAGCAGCCCAGACAAGAGAACCCCCAGAACCCCGAAGCTGAGAGACCAGAGAGGGGGGAACTCCTGGGAGGGTTTTCTGGGGCTGAATCTTGGCTTTTTGGAGGTTTTTAGGGACACAAGATGCCTGGTGACTTCTAGAGATGGACTTGGGCAACTTAACGCACTCAACTATGATGTTTTCACCCCCAAAGCAGGATTTCTCATTCCCAAACCTTGGCCAGATGGAGGAGGCTGGGAGGAAAAGGAAGATACTACAGGACACCCAGGTAGGTGAGGAGGAAGTCACTCCACCTTTCCCCCTCTCTTCTCCTTCATCTTCCAGCCAAGCATCACCCCTGCCTGCAGGACAACCCTGCTGCTGATGCCATGCTGCTGGGGATGGATTTGGCGGGGGAGGGAAATCTCCTTCACTCTGGCACCAAGGCAAATCCCCTTCCTCTTCTTTCTTCCTTCCTCTCCTGGTTCCATTTCTTTCCTTCTTCCTTTTTCTCGTTCATTCCTCCCCAGGCAATGAGCTGAAGGCAGAGACCATGGAGGACAAATCCGCCTGTCAGAACCTCCTGGAAGAGGCTGTTTTGAATGGCTCCACTGTGCAGGAAGCCAATGGGAAGGAAAAGCCACAAGCATACCCCACAGGAAGCAGCTCCAAACCCAGCCCACGGTGTTCTGAGGAGGAAAGACCCACCCTTTGCCAGGAAGGCGGACGGAGCTTCAGCCAGAGCCTGGCGGTCCACCAGCAGCTTCACAGAGTGGAGAAGCCCTTCAAGTGCTTGGAATGCGGCAAGAGCTTCAGCCAGAGCTTCCACCTGATTCGCCACCAGAGTATCCACACCGGGGAAGGACTCTATGAGTGTCATGAATGTGGGAAGAGCTTCGGTGATGGCTTCACCTTTGCAGCCCACCACCGGGTGCACACAGGGGAACGGCCTTACAAGTGCTTTGGATGTGAGAAGAGCTTCAGCCAGAGCTCCAACCTCATCACCCACCAGCGCCTGCACACTGGGGAATGACCCTACAGGTGTCCCGACTGCGGGAAGAGCTTCGTCCGCAGCGCTGACCTTGTAATCCATCATCGTGTCCACACTGGGGAGAAGCCCTACGAGTGTCCTGAGTGTGGGAAGAGGTTTCGGAGCAGCTCAATTGCCAACAGGCATCAGAGGACACACACAGAGGAGAGGCCCTATGAGTGTCCTGAGTGTGGGAAGAGGTTTCGGAACAGTTCTCATCTCATCAGGCATCAATGGACACACACGGGGGAGAGGCCCTACAAGTGTTCCCAGTGTGGGAAGAGCTTCAACCAGAGCTTTACCTTGATCAGACACCAACAGACTCATCGGGAAGGGAAGCCCTACAAGTGCCCCAACTTCAGGACTTCGTCCGCTGCTCCAACTTCATCACCCATCAGAGGATCAACTTTGGATTATCCACAGTGACCCATGTTGGGTAGAGAACCGGTGACCCCCAATCCAGGTGATCCACGTTGGGCAGTGTATTGGGTTTGTGTGGACAGGTCTTGTGCTCAGGGGGCTACAGCGCTTCTGTGAGAAGCTGCCAGGAGTTTTCCCCATGTCTGTATGATTTGCATCTGTACAATGTTTATAAAGCAGCAATGAACCATGTTTAAAAATTCCCTTGGTAAGGGATAGGGAAGTTAACGTGTTATAATTTAACACATCAAATTCTACTTTGTAGCACCAAAACACTGCATAAGCACAATGAAGGGCAAGGTGTGCTAGGAACTGTGGGCTAGAACAGGGGGCTGCAGAAAGGGCATGGAGAAAAAAAACCCAAACGTTTCTTCTCAAGTGCAGCATTAAAGTTCCAGTCTCATCAGATTATAGCACAAGTTTGTAATGTTAGGGTGCTGCTTCATGCTTGTAACTTAAGTAGCCTTTTTCCAATAGGAAAAACTTGGAAAATATTCTACGGACTACTGTAATTTCAACATACAATAAATGAGTTACAGAGTGACAGAATTAGCTTAAAAAAAACCCTGGGGAGTAAAGACTTTCATTTTCAACAGTAAATGACTTCTACTTCTTCTGCAAGTGCATCTAATTTTGTTAAATTTCTTTTTTCATGTAATGAAGAAGTTAGTCCTATAACCCAGCTATTTCTGTGACCATGTCATAAATCTAATCTGGATTAATAACCTAAAGGAAAAATATACATCTAGATCTATATCCATATCAGTTCTTCTGAAGCCATAATTACATCCAGGAAAGCTCTATGTTGGTATTTAGAGAGGTGGTGAGTTTTCCAAGAAACGGGTAGCTTACAGTTTGGTACCTAGTTCACTGAGCAAGTGCCTCACATTAGCAAGCCTCAAGTCAGAGAATGGACTATATCACTTTTTTTCAGGGACTCATCCTATAAAGGACTACAAATACAGATTTTATCACACTTTACCACTGTATATAATTAAGAAGGGTATTTTGGACTGGTTTAAAATCTTAGATTGAGTAGGTTACAAAAAAAAACCCCACGTTTTACTGGGTATAAATGGGTGTGTACACTTTCCAAATTACAGTGCATTGTAGTGTAGCCATTTATAGCCAGGCTACCTTTGCAGCTAGTTACACTGCCACACTGCTTAAGAAAAAAAGCCAAAAAAAGCACATAACCTACAAGAGGACTTGTGAATCTCTACAGTTACAGAACATAGTTTCCAGTCATGAGATTTGAGCTGCAGCCTATAGACTAGATGTGAGATTCCTCCCTGCCCTTGCTATTAATCAGTTTGAGATTAATTAGCAGCTCAAACAGTAGTCTCTCCTTCAATTATGCTCTCCCTTTTCTAGAAAGAGTTGTATTAAAATTAGGTTGAACAAAGTATATTATGACCTGAAATAAGGGCTCATTCCCACTGGAATAGAATACAGCTGCTTATTGTACAAGCTTTGAACCTGAGTTCTGTATTTTCCCCTCTTCTCTTTCAAATAATTTTAGTTGTAACTTAGCAAAGTACTATTATATAACCAAACTATAAATATTTAAATATCAATTCTTCTAGTAGCACCACATCCTCACATATTCTTTACAAGATGAAATTGTGCAGTTATGAGGTGTAACCTGTCTTGTTTTTTGCCCCCATACCCTGCAATTTACAATTTAAACAGAACTGTATTTAGCACGAAAAATACATCTCTGTATCATTCTAGAAGTTCTGTCAGAAAGTAAATTAAATATGATAGCTTCATTTTAAGAAAGTGGTTAAGTGGTAATATTCCAGTGAAAAATTCTTTTACCGGAGCTCGCTGACAAAGGAGTTTCCTTGTGAGAAGGTGTTTTAACAGTGCTGGTAGTTTTACTTTTACATCCTCTCTTCAAGGTCAACACAGACGGCACCATTCTATCCTTGGGAGTCGATACACTCTGTAGCGTGACTGGGTCTTTCTTTGGTATGCTTTTCCCTTGCGTTGTCCCATCTTTCACAGAAGGCATCTGTTTTAAGAAAAAAAGAAAAACCGAAAAGCCAATAACAATACATCTCACTCACCACCACTGTGAGAAACTGAAGATCTCCCTTTGCAGCATCTGTAATGAAATACTGACCACCCAGGTATGGGATATGCTTAGTCTGTCTCCATCTGCAGTTCAGAACCTCAAGAATCATCTCCTAAATGGCCTTCAGCAACACAAACCTGTCAGTTTGAAGTTAATCACTAGTAATGACAAACACACTAAAAAGAGGTTACAGAGGTAACGTTACATCAGAATTTCTTCCTCTTCCTCCCCAAACTCTAATTAAGCAATTCCATTACATGACTACACCTAGTCTCAAGTTCTTTACCAACAAGCTATACACATTAATACCCTAAGAAGTTAGTTGTCCTGTGCTTCTTGAAATGTCACAGCCATTACTGTAGTCTCATGATCTAAGTCTTGTGTCACAACAGAGAAAAAGGTTAAAATTTTTTACATTGAGGTTCCACAGATTAAAATAAATTCAGGAGTGGACACGGGACAGGTTTAAAATAACTGGTTTATATGTACAGAACATCTGCATTTCATACAGAATTCTTGCTACAGTTTATGCTTGCACTAATTCATGACCACTCTTGATGTACAGTCAAACCTATAAAGGTAAACTCATAAGACCATACAGCTGTTTATATGCTTTTCTGTGACTCAAGCCAATATGCTGCACTTTCCACTTTTGACTCCAATCCTCATCTTCATTTTCAGATGTTAATCTATAGTTTTCAGAAGACTACTTACTAAGTTTAGTCCAGCTGATCTGTCTGCTGTATATCATTTATAGAAATTGTTCTATTGTTTTTCCAGGTACAAGCAGAACAATTAATATCACAAAGGTTTTCCATATAGACAATAGAATAAATGAAGAGCATTCTCTTCAACCCTCAGCATCAAAAATAAGGACTGAAGTTCTTAAAGACTTTAGAATTAAAACAGACCATTTTTGCTCTCATGTTTATTTAGGTTTTCAAGTTAGATTATTTACTCTAATAAATAGTATTATTTATTAATTTCTGGTGTAATGTATCAAAAATGGATAGCTGCTTCTGTTTTACTTAAGAGCTTCCTCCATATACTGAGCTTTACTGGAATTTTTCTGGCAAATCAGGAAAGCCTGTCAAAACATCAGACAACACCAGTTTTACCATTAACAGCTGCTGTCTCCATTTCACCAATTTAACGAAAGCTGTTGAACCCACAAATCAGCAACAGGAGAAATTCCACATAGCACCAAGACTCCAACTTTGTGTCCCTACCATACATCCTGAGATCTTGGGCAACCCAACTCCAACGCTCTGCCCCTTCTTTCCCACCATTCCTTTTCTTTTATCCTTCTTTCAAGAGTATTTGAAAGCGGCACATTTCTCCTGACAGGCAGCTGACTCATCCAGAAGTATTTCCCAACCAACCAGCACATGCATACCTCCCGGCCAGGAAGTTTACACCTTCCAGCTGGCTGACTGCCTAAAACCAGGTATATGCCCTCTGCATGAGAAATATTTCCTGGCTACTCTTCAGTATTCTAATGAGTCCTGGTTCTACTTCAAACAAACAAACTCCAAAATTATTCAAAGCAGACAGTGAAATAAAATATTTCACCAACTCATTGGTCTTTGGGTTTTGTGTGACTTAATGTTACTGTTAATATATGCACAACATTTACATAAGTAATTTCAAAAAATGTAATTTAGTTCTAAAGCACATTTGGAAGGAAAAGAAAATACTGAAACCAGCAATTTATCTCTAATGTCTATTTAAAGTTATAGCACCACTAGAATTATCTTGAAAAATGTGGATATGAAAAGTTATATTTAGAAAACCTCACCAAGTTATGCTATGAAATTTTACAAGTTTGACTAAATTAGGGCTTGTTTGCTTTCATCACACATGCACCAACTGCATTGTCTGTAAAAGACTTTACTAAAAAAAAAAATTTTACATCACGGAATAAGATGAAAATAGAAGGACACTAACTCACAGCTGAGGCCAAGTGCAACCAGTTGAAAGTAAAGCGGTATTTCTTCATTTCCTTTATTAGGAAAATCAACAGAGAAAATCAACCTGAGAAATGAACATTACAGTTCCATTTGTAGATACAAAGCCCATTCCACAATTGCCATTCAACACTGTGCAATGACAAATTTCCTTTTTCCAAATGTACTAAACATACAGTAAAGTATGAAAGGGATAAAAACTTACCAAAGGAACAGACTGCATGTCAAACGTTTCATTTGCCACATCTTTTATCAAGGTCACTTCCAGAAGCATTCCCATATTGCTGCTTTGCTCTTTTTCACCTCCAGTTGGGTCAATATCTTGAGCACAAGGCTGCATTAAGGAGTCTGAACTTTCCATTTTATCATTTAGCATCTCTTCCGAGCTCTCTACACATGTTGGAAATGCAGCAGAACCCAAGGAGCACGCCGAATGGGTAGTGCTTGCTTTGTCAGTGTCTTCAGGACTTTGCTTTAATGCAGGTGTCTTTGAAGCCTTGTGGGAAGCGTTCCTGGGAGGTGTTGTGGCATGTACAACTTGGCTAGTGAAGAGGCGTTTGTTAAGATGTAGCTTATGGGGTTTATTTACAGGCAATTCCACTTTTGAATCTTTAGCTAGATCTACTGTCTTTTTCAGCACTTTTACAGAGGATAATTGCCTTGGGGAAGTAACCCGTGAAGGTGAGGAGACAGCTGATAGCTGGGAGGACTGGGGAGACTGTTTTAATGCTGCACTGTCTCTTGACTGTAGCACAGGTCTAGACACCACCTTTGGCTTCACATTTTTGAAATCAGGTTTGGGAAAACTAACAATCTCCAATTTCTTCGCTTTGGTTATTGCTGACACAACAGGAGACCTGCCCACTGGTTTTCTTACAGTTTGATCTGAACTAGCTCTAAGCACAGTCCTTTTCTTATGTCCTGCTACAAATGCCTCATTTGGTCTTAGTTTAGGAGACTTGTCTCCAAGTTCTTCCAAAGCTGAAACAGAAAAAGTTCTATTTTTTGATCGCTCTTTAGGGGTTGAAGTACATAGAGTAGAAGCACTTTCATCAGCCATAGGACTGAAGACCACAAAAGTTGCTTCGCATTTCAGGTCAGGTATAGCAGTCCTCTTTAATTTTGGTACACTGCAAGATATAGAAGGGGTGTTGTGCATATCCTGAAGAGCAGCATTTCCAGAGATACTCTGTTCTTTGGTTAAGGGTTCACTGGTTTTCTGTGATACTTGTTCTACATACATTTTATCTACTGAGAGAAGGTGCACACTATTTACAAGACTATCCACGCCCGTTTTAGCATTGGAATTCCCAGTTTCATCGTGGTCAGAGTTATCCTGCAAGGATTGCAATTGGTCATCTTCATTAATATTAATGCACGGTGACAATGCATCTCGCCTATAAGGATCTATACATTCAGTAGCTAGTTCTACAGACTGTGCTTCTGTTTCCTGTGATTCTTTATCAGTCTTGATAGCATTTTTCAGACAGTGTTCAACACCTGCAGAGGTGCAATTAGGTGTTCTTTCTGAGCTGGTTCTATCAAATTTCTCTCTTGTACATATTTCAGAAGAGATCAGTGTTTCTCTCAGATGCATATCATCATTTTGATCAGTTCCCAGAGTTTCACCTGTAACATTAGTAACATCCCATGTGCTCAGGTGGCAGCACGCCCCATCATTTATCAGGGACTGCATGTTCTGCTCTGAAGCAGGAAATGTTACTACACACTTAGAGTCAGTCTGACTATAAGGCACTGTGTGTTTGATACTCTGATTTTGCATTTTTGCCATAACACCATCACCTTTCAATAAGTTTGTTGTTGCTTTCAAGTCACAGTTCAAAGGACACATGCAAGTCTCTTCAGTCATGGAAGACTTGCATGCAGCATCTGCCTCTCCCGACAGAGCTCCTGTGCAGTTGTATCTGCCAGGTGTCTTCTGCAGATCAAGTACTTCAATACACTGCTGTTTTAAAAGAATACTTCTGAAGTCACTCTTATTTTCAAAATCATCTTCATGCTCAGCCGCTATATTCTGGTCAGTTGAATTACTGTGTATCTTGGTGGCACAATTCTTTGAGGAAGGTGTAGCTCTGTCATGTGCATAGTTATTTCCATTTTCATCCCTTATAAGTAAGGAAGACTTCAAGCCATTCTTTGCTTTGTCATCTGACTTCCCAACATTCATTTTGAAGGCTAGACTTCAAACCGTTCTCATTTTACATTTATTTAAAATCCCAGAGAATGCAGATTCTTCTGAACTTTGCAAAAAAAGCCCCAAACCTAAAGCTTTTCCCTGGAATGTGTCACTTGTCCTGAACGATAAATGAAAAGCAGTTCTTCGTTTTCATGTTTCCACAGAGGATTCAAATGTTCTGGAATTAAAAAGAAATTAAAAACAATTAGCCAGTTAGGATTTTAAGACAGTAAACATTTTTAAGCTCCTAGCCTTTGACTCAAGGGCAGACATTTTGACCAATTTTCTTAAGCAAATTAGGATTTTACAAAGATGTCACCCATGCATGCTTTTACCTTCCCAAGCCATTTCTGCTTCTCTGATTGCCAAGCAACTTTGAAGTCTTTGGTCAGTTGCAGTCAAGTGTAACTTTAGGGCTACATTTGCAGGTATTTGGTTTGCTTGGCTTTCATACAAGCAAAAAAAACAACCCAAAAGATTTGGCTTCTTGACCGGGGAAAGCTACCTGAAGGACTACATGACAGAATGAACCATCATTTTCCCCTCTTTCAATAGGAGATACCCAACAACAGGGCATGGTTCCCCATATAGTGTGTAGTCAACCTGTGAAACATTTTACTGCACGCTGCTTGGAAACCAAAAAGCTTACACAGGCTCAAACATAAGCAAGAGCCATGTTAAAACAAACAAACAAACCAACAAACCTGTCCAAAACTGAACACCAAACTGACTTGAGATGCTCTCAGTCCTGAGCTGCAAGCAGCCAGAGAAGAATTACTGCACACTCATCCTGATCTTACACTCTTCACTCAGCATTCAGCCCTGGTTACTGCTGAAGATGGTTCACAGCATTAAGCGGGTCTTCAGTCTGACCACGTCTGGTTGCATATATGTTCTTATACACAAGCTTGCGTGAGGACAGCAAGTAGAGATCTGTGTTGTAATGGCGATGAAATACTGCTGTATAAGCTCGGGTCTACAGCAGAAGTAAGAGCAGCAACATAGGAACAACAATAAGAATCCCAGTGAAGGGAAGTTCAGTGCTTGTCCCTCAATGCACAGAGCAGTAATAACCCCAGAGAGCAGTTCTTGTCTTGCTCTCTGGGGTCTTCTCTCCTGCCTTACGAGGAAGCAATGCATAGCAGAGGCAGCTCAAGTCTTCAAAGAGTTAAGACGTCTGAGATAACAAAGAGAGGATAGCGAGGTTCATGATGTGGGTACACCAGGATATTTCCCACATGCTACTGGAGTAGCCAACCAATAGATGCACAAGACCCCTGAAGACTCACTTGGAGAGCAATTCCATACCTATATAGCAGCCTCCATCTGCTATAAAGACGATTACCCAAGTGAGGAAACAATTCCAGTGTCCTCTCCAGCAGAGCAGAGCTACATTACCTTACCCAAAACCCTGTAGGAAGGTGGGGGTGGCAGGACAGACAGACAATGGAGGACAGTGGACCACGCACGGGATGGAGACGCACAAACAAACAAAAACCAGTAGAGGCCTTGCAACGTATAGTGACAAGTTCCTAGCAAGCATTAAGACTGCACAGAGGTACCAAAACCACAAGGACATAAATGAGATCAAACTGTCCAAAGCAGTTGGATGACCTCCATAGCACAATTCCACATGAAAGGCTCCTAATACCAAAAATGAGACTAGAGATACGGAGAACTTCAGACTTAAAAGATATGGCTGCAGTGGGGTGGAGGATCTGCCAGAAAGGTGGTTCACTTACAAAGCAATAAAGCCTAAATAGGCAGGATGAAGTTCACTGGATCCAACAAGGGAATCTGGCTGAGGATGCATTCATTGGCAAAGGTCAGCTTCCCAACTGAAGAAGGAGGACAACTGCACAAGTGTTGAACACTATCACATATCTGGAATGAGACTCCACTCTCCAACCAAAGAGCAGGAAGAAGGATATTTGCTATCAAAAACAACGAGCAAACAGGTCAACGGTGCTTAGCTTAAAACGCAGCCATCAGAGTGTGGCATCCTCAAACAAGGATACTGATGTAATGACATTTGAAATTTGGTGTGAAGAAAGCAGCAGGACATGAACATCAGGATTCAGTATATAGGGTGGGTAGAATAATTCATAATTCACATAGAGTTAAAGTTTGCAGTTATTTGACTGTTTGAACTATGGTGACAATACTGGATGCAACACACCAAGATAGGTCAAGGAGGTTATAAGATCAGAAAATATGATAATAATACTAAAAATATATTTCTGCTAAAGCAATGCTGATTAGGCACAAAGTAGAATAATTCTGTGATCAAATTTTTGTACAGTGGAATCAATGACTGCTTTGGAAAACAAGTTTGCCACGAGAAGTGACTCTTGACTTATTCTTTAACAAATAAGTTTAAAGCCTCACAGAAACCATATAAGCCATTTTAGGAAAACACAGCAGGAGAAAGAAAACAAAGTCTTATCAGCAAATGCTTTGGAAAGCATAAAATGAAGTCAGCATGCTAAGTAGTGAAATGCATTATTCAAAATCTGTTCTTGAACTATTCAAAATTCACTTTTTTCCTTAAACCTTATTTTTTTCAGCTGAAAACATAGCTTGAGTCACTACATTCAAAATAAATCCTTTTTCATACCAATGAAAAGTATAAACCTTTTCATACTGGCTGCATGGTCCATGAAGTTTAGAGTACAAAAGCAGCACCCAAAGTAGGACTGTTCTAGAACTGCAGGAATGTGCCGGCTCACTACGAACCAAACATAAGAGTGGCTTCTGGCCCACAACCTTGTCTTTACTGGGTACTTTGAATATCTGATTCAGATTGAGTGTAAAAAGACCACAGAACATGGAAATCAAAAAGCTACCGAGATCAGACAGCACGCCCTCCTCTGCCCCTGCCTCCCCCCACCCCTGTAGATGAAATGGCTTATATAGCTAAAAATCTCCTGGTAACTCAAGGCTGGTCTAGATATTTTGCTTACTCACTTTTATTCAATCCCTATAAAAGCATAAACAATTGCAGTACCCTCATTTTCACCTTCAATTAGAAAACCTAAGGCAGATTGAAGAGTTCTTCCAAAAGTCTTCCCTGAAGGCAGGGCAAGAACCTGTTCTGCATAATTTTCCATTAATTTAAGTCAATCACAGAATCAACTGCTGAAAAATATCTGCAATCTTTCCTTTCACTGTTGTTTTGACACACTAAAGCTTGTCTGTACTTGTCTGGAGACTAGCCCTTAACACAGCTTGCTCACCTAGTCATGCAACAAAAAGTTAAGATTCCATTTTGATTCAGCATTAGTTCAGATTGAAACACCAGTCCTACCTCTTTCCAAGAGCTTTCTCTCTATGAAAACAGGCAATTTCAATATTTCAAGACTTAGCAAGACCGAGATCCCAAGAATTTAAAGAATGGCACATTACCTTACAATATCCATAGCTAATAAAGTCAAAATTTAAAACACAGGCAGCTAAGTAAACCTCGATCCAACTGATGCTGAAGTAGCTCCAAGAAAAATAAAAGCAGTTTTAAGACTAAAGAGAGAAATGAGGAAGTATGTTCAAGTTGCACATGCCAAGGTGTACGTGTACATATAAAAAGTCTGCTCACTCACTGCTGTGGACTTTCATATAACCAGAGAACATACAGCAATAAACTACTGATTCAACTATTTTTTAAAGCAGATTTTTCCCTCTTATAATCAATACTTTAATGAGCAAGTAAACCAGTCTCAAATACAGCTTCATACCCACAGAGTCCTGAAGACATCCTGCATAGAAAGTGAGGTATTCCTAAGGATCAACTATGGTGTATAGAAATCTGTAACCTAGATAAACATTATTCCTCAACAACAAACATTCTGTAACTCTGCATATACCAATATGTTCGTTAAGCTTATGAAAACACTTACTGGTGATGAGAAATTCTTTAGTTTCAAGTTTTGCCATAGGAGGGGTTCCGTAGCAGATGCACAGACACAACAGTTGCCCTTGCTGAGAACACACTGTCCCTGGCAACTAGTGACTTGAGGAATTCTCTAAACTAAATACTACTACTAAACTTGTTTTGACTTTGTCTTACATCAAGTATTATGAATTCCTGGCCTCCACAACACCCTACAGCGCAGTGCAAAACAGTTCAGCTGTTTTGTGCCTTCACTAAAGCTCAGCTTGCCAAATTTCAGTTGTGTACTTCTAGTACACTGCAGAATAAAGTCTTTGCTATCAGAGCTCTAAGCTTTCCCCTTCCTCAACAGATATAAGAGTTTGGGGTAACTGTAGTATCACTTGGAAAAAAAATGTGAATGGAGCTTGGCAGGTAGATTCTCCTAAAAAGAGGAGGAATTTACTGCCAGCAGCCCCAGATCCAGGAGAAATACACTACAACATGCAGAACTGGGCTCAGAGCAAGATCTTGTCACTTCTACTAACCAACAAGTGGTGTCCAGGGATGTGCTGTAAAAGGGTAGAGAGACAGTGACTCGTTCAGTGCTAGGTTAACAGGAATCGAAACCAGATCAACTACAACAGATAATTCAATCGACAAGTTGACAAATTACTCCAAGAATTCCAGTCTGTTTGTGTTAGTGTCACAATGTGGACACTAATAAGTTACACTTTTCCTGGTACTCCATCTGGAACTTGATTGTTTTAAGCAAACCATCACGCAGCATTTACTCACACCCATCAGCTATGTTTGTGCAGCCTGTATGAAGGGGGACACAGGGTGGGGAATAAATCTGAAAGGAGAAAGTGTGCCCAGACATGCAGGAAGGCAGTCTAGAAGTGCTCTAATTAACTGAATATGCTTTGATACCAGAAAAAATGCAGCATCAGCATTCCAGCAGAAAAACATGTTATGTGGTCATGATTACCACAGTCACTGAAACCGAAAACCATATAAGGCATTTGATATGTCAATGCATTACACTACAACTAGTTTACTTGATCATGTTCCGGAACACAACACAATTGCAGAAGTCTGAATTTTTCAGCATATACACCTGAAGAGATGGCATCATTCAAGACGGAGTCTGCATGCCACAACCAGGCATCCCTCCCAACATGTTGTTCAGTGTCACTCACACATGCTTCATAAGAAAGGAATAGGAAAACATGCAATTTCAGGTAACGCTGTATTTAAATAGAATTGTAAGTTTTGGAGCTCTCTGTGCAGATTCAGTAATGTCATATCCT